AATAGGGACTTTTTTTTTACATAACCCCAATACCATTAACTTATTTAATGATTAATAATAACTTCCTAATATTATCTAATATTAATTCACATTCAAATTCCCCTATTTGTCTCTAAATGTCTCTTAGGGTGCATCTGTTCAAACCAGGATCCAATCAAGACCATGTATCACCCTTAGACCTCTGCTCTTAAGTCAAGGAGCACTTGGATTATTACTTTCTCTGTGGGCCTCTGAGGGTAAGGGCTCTATCCCAGTCACTTTTGCATCCTTTTGGACTTAGCAGGTGCTCTGCTAATATTTCCTAAATTTATGGTCTCTGCACCCCCCACCCCAATGGAGAACAAAGCCAGTGGTGTGTGTGTCTCCCAGAACTTGCTGGAAAAGGCATCTTGCAAGAGTTGCTGGGATACAGGCTGCAGTACAAGACAAAAGCTGATAGAACTTCATCCTCTTCTCTCTCCTTTTATTTCCTACCCAGGTCACCCTAGAAAGTTCTCTGGGCCGAAGGAGCAAATGTGAACAAACATCCTGGGGTTGAGTGGGTGAGAGGCAGATCTGACAAAAGGAAGGCTCTAATTTGGGCCCATCATCATTTGGAATCTTCCATGATTAACAACTAGGCAGTGCTGGTGAGGGAAGACTGTAGTATCTCCAACATGCCTTTTTTCCCCTCCCCATTCCTAACTATCTATTTGTGTTCTTTAAGCCCTTCAGGTTGGAAAGCCTCAGATCAGAGCCCATGCTTCTTCTTCCCCATGTGGGCGCGTTTGCTGCAGTAGGCTGCTTGAATCAAATGGGTAATGTAGGGTGTGCTGGCCTCAGGGATCAGGGACCCATGGTCTAGCCCTGGTTCTGCTAACTGCCTGAGTGCCTTTGGCTGTGGCTTCTTCTCTCTGGGACTCCCCCAGCTGGTCAATGTGGGTGTTGGTGGCTTTCCCCTCTAAATGCCCTTCCAGTCTGGTTAAACTTACTGGGCACCTTCCCAGGAGCAGGCATTGCACATGACTTCAGGGACAGAGAAATAAATAAAAAGCTCCTGGCCCTTGATAAGTATAGTGGCTCATAGGAGATCTGGGCAGCTAAATCGATGATTAACTTATAACCGAGGAAGTGCTTTGACTGAGACTAGGCTTTGCAGGAAGCCAGAAGAGATACCTTTTTGAGAGAAAGCTGGGAGGAGGAAATGCTTTTGGAGATAAGGTTTAGAATGAAGGGGAGGCTGCAGGCCTAGCAGGGCCATAGGGGGAGCTTTAAGCTAGCTTGTCGGGATAGGATAGAGAGAGGGAAGGCAAGGGAAGTCACATCAAGAGGTATTTCAGTTTAGCAAAGGGGAGAACTTTCTACCAGCAAGGGTTATCACACACCAAGGAGGAAGTTTAGAGCTACTTGTCAGTGGATAGAAATGCACACTATAGCTTGGAGGGCTGGGACCAGAGGCCTCAACCATTCCTGTCCTGTTTGCTGAGCCATCCTCCACCTTGGTTCCAGTCTTTCCCTGTTTTAGAGTCATAGACTCCACAGATGGAACAGCTGGCCACAAGCACCCCCTGGTCCAGGAACACATGCAGATGGGAATGCTGATAAGGTCTGGGGGTCCCATTCTGGCCTCTGCCCCCCTCAGTTTGTCTCTCCTGGACCCTCTGTCCAAAGTGGGCTTCTCCACAGCTGTTGGCCCCCACCCCACTGGCTTGAATTTTGATTGGGCCACAGTCATGTTTGAAAAGCAGATGACAGCTATGTGCCCTTTCCTGCCAAAAGACATAGACTCATAGGTGGCCCAAACGCTGCATCCAATTGATGTGGTTCACAGACCTCTCAAACCACACATGAATGCCAGGCCCAGAACCTCTGCTCCAACCAGTCCCACTATATGCTCTGTTCCCCAGTCCTCGAGTTGTTTCTTTTCATTGCTGCTGTTACTCTAGGATTCTCGGCCAGGCAGGTGGTTACACGTTTCTTGAGTGCCCATTCTGTGCTGTGGGGACATTGGTTGGCTCGGTCCTCACAGAACTCCTGCCCTGGTGTGGGTGGGAGAAAGTACACAGAGGAAGTACACTTAATGAGGAAAAGATTGAGATCCCTAGGCTGGGAGCCCAGGGAACAGGCACAGTCTCCAATTGGGAGGGTCCAGGGAGGCTTTTTGGGGGAAAGGGAGCTGGCCATTCTGGACCTGGGGACACATAGGGGAGAGGACATTGCAGGAAGCCAGGACAACCTGAGCAAGGGGATGTTTGACAGGGCACAGCAGGTGTGAAGCCCAATAGAAGCTGGAAAGGGGGGCTGAGCACAGGCCATGATGGACTGTCAGTGGAATGTGTTCAGAAGAAAATCAGGACCTACTGAAGTGTTTTCAGTAGAGAGAGGGATCTAGGTCTATTTCAGGAAGGACTCTCTGGATGTGCAGAGAGGCTGGATTGGAGGAGACAGATCAGTTTGGCTGTCCCAGTACACCTGACCCAGTGAAGACAGAGCCAGGTGCTGAATGAACTAGGTCGATGTCAATGGGGAGGGAAGACGGCTGAAATGAGAGCTCTCCCCAATGAACATGCAGAACTGGGCCTGGACTTTCAGCTCTCCCCTTTCCCTTGGCCCTGATTCTACAGATGGATGTGCCATGGGAGGGGCACAGGTCTTGGCAGGTTCTCTAGGAAGTCATTTTAGGGAGGTGTGCTGCAAGGGTGTAGGCCTTCAGGAAAGGAACAGGTCAGGTGGCCCAGGGACTTGGGCCTGTGAGGGGGCAAGTTCAGTCTTGCAGTGGTTGAGGAAAGGTTCTAGCTAGATTCAGTGACTTGGTGGGGGTTCACTTCAGTGGTTCAGAACCATTCATTGGCAGGGCTTGGGAACAATGTGCCAGGCCAACCCCCAGTCTCAGTTCAGTAGGTGTGGGGTGGGGCTCCAGAGTTTCTAACAAACTCTTGGGGGAGGGGTTGGAAGCTATGGTTTCCTGGTAGTCAGACTTTCTCCAAACAGGTTG